TACTACTGTCATGATACTACTGTCATGATACTACTGTCATGATACTACTGTCATGATACTACTGTCATGATACTACTGTCATGATGATACTACTGTCATGATACTACTGTCATGATACTACTGTCATGATGATACTACTGTCATGATACTACTTTCATGATACTACTGTCATGATGATACTACTGTCATGATACTACTGTCATGATACTACTGTCATGATACTACTGTCATGATACTACTGTCATGATACTACTGTCATGATACTACTGTCATGATGATACTACTGTCATGATACTACTGTCATGATACTACTGTCATGATACTACTGTCATGATAATACTGTCATGATACTACTGTCATGATACTACTGTCATGATACTACTGTCATGATACTTCTGTCATGATACTACTGTCATGATGATACTACTGTCATGATACTACTGTCATGATACTACTGTCATGATGATACTACTGTCATGATACTACTGTGATGATACTACTGTCATGATGATACTACTGTCATGATACTACTGTCACGATACTACTGTCATGATGCTACTACTGTCATGATACTACTGTCATGATACTACTGTCATGATACTACTGTCATGATACTACTGTCATGATACTACTGTCATGATACTACTGTCATGATACTACTGTCATGATACTACTGTCATGATGATACTACTGTCATGATACTACTGTCATGATACTACTGTCACTGTCATAAGGTTTTCATTGTAGACATGGCCACTTTAAAAAAAAATGCTCTACAAAACTGTGAGAGATACTCTTGCCTTATTAAGACTTGACCTGTTTTTATGTTGCTGACGTCAAGAGATAGTGTGGGATGCATGATTCCATATAACCTTTTTGTTCATTTTTATGTTGCACAGCATTATTTACATTTAAGCATTGTTCATTGTTTTGTAAAAAAACAACAAGATATAATAAACACTCCTAGTTGTGTTGAAGCTGATAAATTATTTTTAAATGTAGTTTTTATTTCAATAAATTTAAGATTGTTACCGACTGTCCTTGTGAGTAAGGATTTTTCAGACCTAAATACAAAAATTGGGCTAATGAAGATCAGTTTTTACTTTAAATTGAATGTACCGTATTTAAAAATTGTCCTTTCCTGGTCTTCAAATCTGTACACCTATCAATCAATTGATCAAAATCAATTTCCTTCATCGTATCACTTTCAATTGATAGGAGATCTAGATCAGAAAGCCTTGGCCGGCCTATGGGGAATTGTAAATAGTTCTTGATGTGCTTTAGTTTTGGAAAGCTCCGCTCACATGAAGCCACAGACACACAGATCGTAAGAAATAATTGAAGGCTTAGTGAAAGCATTGGAAGAGATTCTAGGAAGTCCCATTAAGCTATGAATTTCAAAACTCAAGTACTGACCAGTCCATGACTTTGTGAAATTCAATATCAGCTGCCTTTAGGTGTCATCCAAGCTTTGGTATTTCCTATAAAAGTTCATCTTCTGTTAACTCATCATAGAAAGAGTTTGATTTGGACGCGGACACCTATAGCTCTTCTTCACTTGCTGAAAGCAGACTCTTGGTTTGAACAACAATTTATCTCGACTTGTTTTTCACATTAGATTAATGTAAATGGTCACTTATTGGAACACTTATTATTCCATCTTAATGGAAGAATGTGGTGGTGGAGCAGGCCAGGGCCCTATATTTGCTGTAGCGCCAACTGATGATGATGTCCGAATGGAAGGATGTGGTGGAGCAGGCCGGGGCCCTACATGGGCTTTAGCGCCACTGATGATGTCCGAATGGAAGGATGGGGTGGATCAGACCGTGGTCCTACATGGGCTGTAGCGCTACCGATGATGATGGTGATGTTCTCTTATTGGGAAAATGTCGTGGGTGTCAGGGAGGAGAATATCACGGGTTTTGAGGTAAACATGTTTGACTATGATATTTTTAGGATGGCTTATAAGAATAAGTTTAGTCCTCTGGCCATTGTCACTCGGACGAGAACTGAAGGCGTCAGCACGGGTCATATTTTTAATAATTTCAAGGGCTGATAAAAGTACTGTCTCCGGGTAGGCCCTACATCTGAAATAGTCGATCAACTTAAACGCCTTGCCCCAAAAGTCACCCTCCGGCTGGCACAGGTGACAAAAATGAAGTAATTGAGAAAAGGTGATAATAGTAAGAATAATAAAGTTAATTTGAAAAACGCTCGTCATCCCCAAAAGCTCGAAGCGAGGTACAAAGTCAACCATATCAAAAAAGAGAAATAAAAACAAACTCTAAAATTTACCACGTTTAAAAACAGACGCAACAGTATAAAAACTACATTCAAGCATACCAAGTCAATGTCTTTCATCCCATTTCAATCAGAAGCAACACAAGCCAATGTATCCATTAAATGGGAAAAGGTGGTAGACAGAAGGTGTTTGCGAAATAGATGTGTTTTTAAATCAGTTTTAAAGGACTCCAGTGCCTGGCTGTTTCTGAAAGCGACAGGAAGAGTCTTTATAGGATGTAGAGTGGGAGGAGGAGTAGATTAAACAGCTGTGTGCCGTCAGTGGGTTTAAAGTACGCGGAGGTGAGTA